ATCTGGACTGTTACAATGTAATAATCTCCCAATTGAGTGGTCCTCAGCTGAGGGAATATTTTAGAATTCCGGTGGTGGGTCAAACACATATGTTTTTAAAAATCTGGGATGAGTTGAGGAAATCTCTAGTTTAAAGTATTCCACAGAATATTCTAATATGTACCTTCAGTGAGAGGCACTCCACACCAACTTGTCTTCAGTTTTGCCCCTCTTAAGTTCATCCTCCCTACTTCACTCTCCTAGAGAAACACTACAGGGGCTCTTTATCACCTATAGCATAAAATCCAAGCTGGTTAGCTTGGTTTGCAAGGGCTCCATCCCCTGCCATGTACTCCATGCTTTAGTGGCACTCAACTTTGTGCATTACCGTCTTGTCACATCCCATCTTGTCTCCCACGTCTTGCTTTTGTTCAGGCTATTCTCTGTGCCCACAGTCCCCTTTTTGTTTTTATTCATGGACATTCTCCTACTTGCTTTGTAGGACCCAGCTCAGCTTCAGGAAGCCTCCCCAGGCCCAAAGACTGGGTTAGAGCTTCTCCCTCCTGGTGCTCTGGTTCATTAATTACATAACCAAGTCTATTATATACAAAGTATAATCTCCCACTAGAGTAGGAGTTCCTCAAGGGACTTAAGGTACTCATCTTCGTTAGCCTGGCACGGTGCTCAGAAAACAGTAAGAATAAAATAGGTATTTACTACTCAGGACATCATACAGACTTACTGTATATTTATTGAACTGAATTGGGCTGTCTAGTTTGCCTTTAAAACCAAGTGTTTTAGTATTTGGAAATATGGGCAATGATACCTCTAGTGCTTTTTAAATGCACAAGATTCGTGATCATATTCTCCAACTGAATTCAGTTGTTTTCAGTTGTATTAGGGAGAAGATGAGATATAACTTGGGGGTTAAAAAATAAATCCCAGGTGAAATAGAAAACGGAATGATTTTCAAATGAAGAGGAAGAAATGCAACTATTAAGAATCCTAGGCTGGACACGGCAGCTCACATCTGTAATCCCAGCACTTTGGGAGGCTGAGGTGGGTGGATCACCTGAGATCAGGAGTTTGAGACCAGCCTGGCCAACATGGTGAAACCCTGTCTCTACTGAAAATACAAAAAATTAACTTGACGTGGTGGTGGGCACCTATAATCCCAGCTACTCTGGAGGCCGAGGCAGGAGAATTGCTCGAACCAGGGAGGCGGAGGTTGCAGTGAGCGGAGGTCACGCAACTGCACTCTAGCCTGGGCAACAAGAGTGAAACTCTGCCTCAAAAAAAAAAAAAAAAAAAAAAAAGAGAATCCAGCATCTACAATCCCACAATGGGTATTATACAAAGGTCGATCTGCCTGCACAAGTTGCATGGATGAGGGAGGCTCATTCTTCTGTTCAAGTCTGGTTCTCTTTCTTATCCTTCTGTCCTGCCTAACATCTTGCCCAAGCCTCCTGGGGAGGAGATGAATATCACATCTTTTCTCCTCAAAGACGCAGTGCTAGAGAAACAACCAGGAATGACAGACTTGTGTGCAGGTCCCAGAGAAAGCAAGGAGAGTGTGGAAGACTGTCAGAGATACCTGCTCTTTGGGATAGAGAAGCTGTGATGCCCCCTCTAGTATGAATCTGGGCATCACTTAATTTTCTGATCTCTTCCAGTCCCTATTCTGTGTAACAACCAATGGGATTAATCTAGCTTTCCTCAAACTGATCCCAAATGAAAAAGAAGATGAAGTCTTCTGGAAGTTTACTGGGTGGCAACAGATGGATTAAAGCTAGCCATACTGTATTTGGCTGCCAAGTTCTTCTCAGGGGGACCTTGCCCGTAAGTTGGAGCTGTAACTTCACGCCAGTCCCAGCATTCATGTTACTTTGACTTCTTCCTTGGTTTAGAGCGTTTACATGCTTCTAACCCAGATCAATGTCAGAGCCATAATTCTTGAGAGAGAACAGAATCCATAGTCTGGTGTCATGCATCAGTGGGTATTTAACAAATGTCAATTGATAATGTTTATAATCATGAAATGGAGAAAAATATGTTTTTTTGGCACTGTCTTGAATAGATGTAATCTCTACCCTCTGCTAGAAAACAGAAACGGAAATAATACGAAGATTCCTAGAGAGAAAACAAGGAGATGGCAGAGATAGCATCTCATTCAGGAAGCTTCAAACTGAAAGGATCTGAGTGAGGACAGCTGCTACAGAATTCCACGACCTCTGCAAGACTTTCCGCCCTTTGAAGGAGATGATGGCCAGATATCAGCTCGAAAATCATGGCAAGCTCAGTTTGGCTGGAGAAGGAAGAAAGAATGCCCATGGCAAAAACAAACAAACAAACAAACAAACAAAAAACCCACAATCTGACCCATTGATGAATAAGCAAAGGCTTTGATACACAGAACTGCTCTTCCACACAGATTCTCTTTTATTCTTGGAAACTACTGGACACCAAATGAAAAAAAAATTCTCCCTCCTAACATGACTCAGCACTTTAGATCAATCTACTAACTGGTACTCTTCTATTGCCATAAAATAGTGAAGGGAAGATTTGATGACAGAAAATCTGGGTTCAAGTAAATATGCCATTTCTGGCTGTGTGATTTTAGGCAAGACGCTTAACCTCTCTGAATTTAGCTTTCTTGTGGGTAAAATACAGAAAATAACAACATATGTGAGTTATGATAATTAATTGAGCTAATGTATGTGAAGGTGTATTTTGCCTCTAGATGGTCATGCAGTTTAGGACATTCTGTCTTTGAATGGTCTAAGGAGGAGAAGAAAGTGAAAGAATGCTGCTAATGAATAAAGCTGCTTCCAAACCCCATCCACTCTTCAAGAACACACAAATACATCCAGATTTATGCAGACTGGTGTCGGGGGCTGCATTCATTAGCCAATTTAAATAATTTTATATCTTAAAATAATTATGGCATTTGTAGTAGTGTTTCCCAACACATATGAGGTCTAAAGCAAAATGCCCCCAAAGACAACCACATGCAATCATTGCATTCATTTTACATTTTTAATGAGTCTCCCTGTTCCCAGAGCTCTGTTGCTATTCCCAGCAGCCCGGGTTCTGTTTTGTGTTCCTTCATGGGTAGACAGGGCAACCTGCCTGTTTTCTTGTCTCCATTTGCATTTTAACTTCATAAGAAGACAGGATATGGAGACGTAATCTCCTCTCAGGAGGTTTTTATTTCTACAAATTACCAGGTACAAGTATCTTGTTAAAAATAGCCATAAATAAGATAAAACAGGAGTATGTGTTTGTTTCTTGCCTGAAGCAAGCAGTGCAGGTTTTGCCCTGCTACTTGCTTACAATGAATTTAGGGACTGAGAGTAACTTCCCTTCCCTGAACCTACAGTTCCTGCTCTGCCCTCCATATTCAGAAAACAGTATTAGAAGGAAGAGAAGGGGCCAAATATCCCTGGCTTCATCCAGGTGGAACAATCCCACTCCTCAAAGCAATCCAAGGGCTAAGAGTGTTTTAATAAAGATTGCAAATGAACAGCACCAGTAAAGAATTTGGCAACATATAACACATATAACACACTTAGGAAACATACACCAAATGTACACCACCTATTTCTGCAGCACATAATCTTTGGTTAGGCTGTAACTGCCTTAAGGACTTTCCCATCTAAAGTTGTATCAAATATGACCCTTACCATAATGCGGTCGGGCCAGGAAGGCAAGTATTATTTCTAACGGTGGTGCACAAGGTCCCCTACCATCTTATACCACACTGCAGTGTGCCCGCTTTTGCTTCCTAGGTTCTATCCACACTGGCCTTTCTGTTTCGTGAACACATCACTCTGGATCCTACCCCAGGACCTTTGCATTGGTTGTTCCCTCTGTGGAACACTCTTCCCCTGGGTCTTTAAATGACTGTCTCCCCACCATACAACTATCCACTGAAATTCCTCCTACTCAAAGAAACCTTCTCTGCCCACTTTAAAGAAACACTACCCTCATCTACCCCTACCCCAACACATGCTTCTCTATTATCTTACCTTGTTTATTGTCTTCAAAGGCCTTACCATTCTCTGGAATCATTGCCTTTATTTATTGGTCCACGGCCTCTGTTCCCCTGTAGAATGAAAGGTCAAGGAAGGAAGGGACTTTGTCTAGTTCACTGCTAGGTTCCCAGCATCTAGAACGGTGCCTGGCACACAGGAGACGCTAAAACACTATTTATTGAGTTCATTTCAGTTTGGTCAATGAGGAAACCAAGATCACAAAGATGAGGTGACTTGTTGGGATCTAATTAGGGCAAACCTGGGACATCTCCTAACTTTCAGACCAGTGCTTTTCTCTCTAGGCAGGGAAGTTTACTACTTGCCCACTGGGTAGCCCAGAATTAACATGTTGCCCTTTGGCATGACACAGGAAGTTGAGATTTCTTGTCTTCAGAAGTAAGCATGGACAGTCATCCCGTCAAGATATGTGTGTGTAAAAACTTAACCCAGGGCTCAAAGGTGCTGTTTTGCCGTATTTTCCTGGGATTTGGGGGTTTGGGTCCCATCTAGAGTGCACTAATTTTGAGAAGCAGCGTGAAGGGATAGAAACAAAAAAACTTGGCTTGGTCCTGAGCAGGCCATTTATTGCTGGGTGATATTGGACAAGTCTATCACCTTCTCTTGAAATTAAGGATAATGTAAGCTTTTACATGGCTGCCCTGAACTGAATAACCCTGAACACATAAAATATCCAACCCAGGTCCTGGGGTACAGGACGCATTCAGCGCATACTTCGATGTTTCTCTTCATCCACTTTGTTGTTGTTTTCAGAGACAGGTCTCGTTCTGTCACCCAGGCTGGGGTTCAGCGGCATGATTGTAGCTCACTGTAACCTTGAACTCCTGGCCTTAAGCAATCCTCCCACCTTGGCCTCCCAAAGTGCTAGGATTATAGGCGTGAACCACTGTGCCCAGCCCTTCATCCAATTTATGATTGATGCCTCTTTAGGATATGAGCTGAGTTTCTCTTTCTCTCTCTCAAGCTCTCAACATGTCTTGAAACCTGCTTTACTATAAACACAAGTGGCTGATTGATATCTGGTGATTAACTAATGATGACAGAAGGAGGGAGGTGACTTTCTGGGGTGACTAAAATGTTTACACCGGGTATTTATCATGCCGCAGTTGAGTTGGAGATATGATCTTGGGGGAAAAAAAAAGACTAAAAATGTGACTGCCTCAGCGCAAGTCACGGCTAGACAGAGAGCTCGGCATGCCATCAGCACTGACCTCATGCCGATGGCTCTCAGCACGGAGAAGGCCTGTCAAGACGTGCCAGAGGCTCCATTATCAGGCCAGGGCAAGAGCGTGAAGATAAAGCAGTACGGAAGAGGTAAAAGAAGAGAGATCTAGGAGGTGAGTTTAAATTCCAGGTCCTCCAGGTCAAGTTTTCAGAAAAGGTTTTTTTCTTCTGTTTTCCTTGTATACCCTGGAGTTTTAAGCATGGCGTATTTGGAATACAGTTACCACAGGAGAATGCCGGAACTCCAGGGTGAAAAGAGAGGCAATACTTAAGAAAATACGATGTTCTGCCTCTATGAAAAAGCTTGACAGTGTTAACATGCAGCAAACTCAATAGGTTTAATGGGTCGTGGTGAACTACACCCACAGGCTTCCAACCAGCTCTGAGAATAATACCTGCTTTCTCATTGAGTTACAGAGAGAATCAGTATGGGAAAGTGTTCAGCTCTAAGTCACTCCATAAATACTAGGTGTTTTAATGATGACAGTTTGGCGGTGAGCAGGGTCAGTGCAGGGAGGATGTCAGAACAAAGTAGGCTGATCTTCCAACGCTCGCTCCTGCATTGGCGTCTGGCTCTTAGAGCTCAGTTACTTACTCAGCTGTAAATAAACTCTGAGATGCAGCAGCTCAGCTTCATTCCCTCCCTGCCCTTCTCTTTTGCCTGAAAACATCAAGGGATTGGATGGAAACAAACCATGCAGCAAAAATGTGCTGAAGAGGAAAGAGACTCGTACACTTGAAAATCGCCTCTAAATAGTATTTCTCAGAGGTAAAGCAGTTTGAAAATATGTACGTATAAAATACACTGAATCAAACAGCAGAGAATCTACTGAGCACTGGTATAGATCCCTTTCTTCATCAACACACATGGTCTGTGACAAAAGTATTTATTTGACTACATAGGATTCAGGGCAGAGAAATAAAACCTGCTCAGTTAACTGAAGGAAGGCAGCAGTCTTTGTTCTGGCTCAAACTATGTTGCTTGATGGTAGCATGTAGACATACGAAAATAAAGATGATCAAACAGAAGAGTGTGATATATAGACAGAAATTTTGTGAGAGAAAATCTGTACCATTTTGGAAGAGGTGATTATAAAGGTTCCAGGTGCTGCCGCAGCGCCTGGGTCCACACGTCATATAACTTGACATCTTCATTTACCATTTCAACCCTCTCATCATTTCCTCTGCATCTCCAGCTCCTGAGCTCAATTCTTTGGCGGACATGCTTATTCTCTTTACTAACAGGCAGTCAATATTACATCATCCAGTTCTCTGTGATTCCTTTCACACGATAAGATATATTTGAGCAAATTCTGTTGGGACTTTGTTTTTCAACTCCACGATGCCTGGCAAAGTGAGGCAGTGAGAATGCCATGCAAAATACTGAAACTTGATTGGATTGCAGCCCAGACAGCGTGACTACAGCAACATGCTTACCCTTCTTTATATGAGCTGGTGGCTGTAAGACATCCATATGCTGCTACTTGGGCTTCCATCCAAGATGAATAAAGAATGAATGAGGGGGAAAAAGATAACAAATTAATTAGGATTGTCTGTTAATTGAGAGGGTTTGACATGGCTACCTTGTGTTCAACAGATCATGCAACCAGCAACATATTAGTTCATGATCAAGAAAGCAGAACTTAGGGTGAAAAAAAAAAATAGAGAACAGCACTACAGCAGGGTTTCTTAGTCTTAGCACCGTGTACATTTTGGGCTGGATAATTCTTGGTTTGGGGGGGTCTGTATTTGGCATTGTAGGGTGTTTAGCAGCATACCTGGCCTCTACTGACTAGATGCCAATAGCACTCTCTCCGCAAGTTGTGAAAATCAAAAATGACTCCAGACATTAGCAAATGTCCCCTGGGGAGCAAAGTTGCCCCCAGTTGGAGACCGCTGCAATACAGTAAATAATACACATCCTGTAGCCCCTCTTTATGTCTCATGTCTTTCCTTTCCCAGTGACCTACTTGACAGGAGCTTGTTGTAAAGCTACAATGAGAACATGATACTCAGACATGAGACAGAAGTGAGATGGTAGTTTATGAGAATACAGAGTGTGACACTTCTTCAAATCATCGTGACTTAACCATGTCCTGCCATACGTGAGGATGTCTTCGCTGGCTCTGAACATTCAGAAGAACGTGAACTTGCTGAAAGCCTAGCCCCTGTGGAGGGGTTTTCAGCTGTTTCTTAAGAAAAATTGACCTTTAAAAATAATTTCTCTTCCAAGATTTTTTTTTTCCTTCTTGAATTAGTTCTTGCCTTTCACTGCAGCAAAATGGCACTTAATGGATCTTTGAAATTTAATATGGGATAATATTTCAAACTCTCTGAAGTTTAATAATAGCCCTCTGAAATGGTTTAGAAATGGGATTTGAGAGGAGAAAGGGTTTTATTTTTGTTTTAAAATTTTACTCTGCTATTTTAGTGGATGAGCAATCTGATAGGCTCCCCTTACCCCTTTTTTCTTCCCCTTATTCTTAGTGAAGGACAAATGGATAATGTTACAGAACTTTGCACATACTTAGCAATTTATCAGCCATAACCAACTAATCTATAGAAACCAGGTAGCAGGAGGCAGGCTTGTTACTGGATTCACAGAAATGATTCCCAGTGTTTCTCTTTTTACTTCTGTAAACAGACACATTGTACCTGGCACACCAAGGTCCTCAAAGTACCCCTCTTGAAAAAATGATCCCTTAGAGTGTTGTGATAAGTCATTACTACTGTTTCCATCAGCAGACTCACAAAAATCCATGCGTACCGGAAATGTTTCCACTTAGCTCCATTTTCTTCTCTGAAGCTCGGACTGGACACAGAGTAGTCACCTAAACCTATGTATTAAATGGAATTAAACAGAACGCAGACAGCTACTCTGACCACCACCACTCAACCACCAGCCCCTCCATTAGCACAAACGACTTTCATGTGTGTTTTCCTTACAACAACCTTGTACTACAGAGGACAGAGCAATATCTCTACCTCATTTTACAAACGAAGAAGCACCATTTATGGAGGCATGATAGTTTGCCTTCATTCTTAAGCAAGTAACTGTTGATGCTGGAATTAATTAACTTAAGCATCACTGTTCAATGAGAGATACCAGGTCTGTCTTCTGTTGTGGGTTTAAAATAGCTTATCAGATTTTCTGAGCCCTGGATACATTCCTTAAACCCATTTCATACTCTTTCTCTGCTTTGCTAGTCAGCAGGGAAGCTTATCGTTACTAATATAATTAGGTTGAAACTGCCAAGAGAACAGAAACCATTCCTATCTTGTTTGCTAGTACAGAACCTGGCACACAGTAAGCACTCAATAAAAATTTGTTAAATAAATTTGTGGAAAGAATTTGTGTATTTAAAGAACCTTAGAAACTTTGGGCCAGGCGCAGTGGCTCACACCTGTAATCCCAGCACTTTGGGAGGCCGAGGCAGGTGGATCACAAGGTCAGGGGATAGAGACCATCCTGGCTAATGTGGTGAAACCCCTCTCTACTACAAATACAAAAAATTAGTTGGGCGTGGTGGTGGGTGCCTGTGGTCCCAGCTACTTGGGAGGCTGAGGCAGGATAATGGTGTGAACCCGGGAGGCGGAGCTTGCAGTGAGTGGAGATCGCGCCACTGCACTTCAGCCTGGGCCACAGAGCAAGACTCCATCTTAAAAAAAAAAGAAGAATCTTAGAAATTTTGTTATGAAGAAAGGGGTAGCCTAGAGAGCAGATACAAATATTTCCAGGACTGAGAGGCATATTCTTCACTTCATGTGAATAGAAGTAAATATTCTGACTGGGCTCACGCATCGGTCTCTGGTGAGTTTAATTAGTTCAAGTTGGCCCATGTGATGTGCATTCACTTTAGGAGCACTGACAAATGTATTTTTTTTCAGTATGTAAAGGTGAGGACAGATCACGGGCCTTGATACCTTTATGAGGCTTCAGGGAAACAAAACATCATTAGCATTTCTTCTCTTTTAAATTCAACATGCACAACTTAAAATGCAGATGTAAATTGCAGTTATTTTTGTGGCTATCCTTACCTCATTCCTACCACTTCACCTCTGCCTTGGAGCCAAGTGGCTGGAACCTTTGGCATTCCTGCGGGTGGAGCAAAATCTCCAATGGAGGAAAAGCATCCTGAGGTTGACACCCTCCCCTTCCACACCTCCCTGCTCTCATGGGTGGATGGTGGAAGTCAGGGCCTCCTTCCCAATGAAGACTGTCACCCACAGAGAGCAACTGTGAGAGTAATTACAGCTCTGGGTGTTGCAATCAAGCCAGGAGGAAAGGAAGGAAGACCACTGACTAATCAAGGTACCTCTCCCCAAGTTTTTCCATTCCTGATTTGGGCTAGACAGTAAAGGTGCTGCCCTTCCTCTGACAATCTTGTTCCTTGCCCAGATCCTCATTTTCCAGGGTCTGGGGAGCAGCATCTTCTGTGGTGTGTAGAGTTCCATGCTGCCTGCCTTGCCCAGATGGCTGGGAGCCCACGCAGCCTATATCTATAGATATAAACTACGTGGTTCCTCTAAAATGGTGGTTCTCAGCTATACGCAATTTTGTCCCCAGGGGGACATTTAGCAATGTCTGGAGACATTTTTGTTTGTCACAACTGGGGCAGGGGATGTGCTACTACCATGGATGGGTAGAGCCCAAGAATGCTGGTAAATATCCTGTAGTGCACAGGACACCTCCCTATGAAATGCAAAACAAAGGAAAACATAAAGGCAAGCCCATGAAGAGTGCAGTTTGTTTAGGTTTGCTGAAAGGAGGCTTTTTAGTGATAAGAATGTCAAACAGCTTTCATCTGAAGGCCTGTGCTTTATAGTGAGTTCATAAGGCCTTGGGTCAGCAAGTACAGGGCATTCCCTGTGGTTTAGCCAGTGTCTGTGGCACAGTGCCTGGTGCATGGCATACTTCATGAATATATCCTAAAGTAGGCATTGTAATTGGGACTGTAGTGTCTATAATAGGAAATTGACTCTTAATTAACTGGTAAGGAGGGGACAAAGAAAAACAATGTCACAAAATTTGAGAGTGGGACACAGCCGGCAGGTCAGTTAGGCTGTAGGACTTCATGGGATTGGTTGTCCAGAGAGCAGCCAAATGTTTAGA